CCCCCCCCCGCTAGGGCTTTTGCAGGCGCCACCGTCCACGACTTCTTCAACTGGCTGTCGGTGTTCGTGCTCCTGCCCCTGGAGGCCGCCACCCACTACCTGGAGATCCTCACCAACCTCGTGGTCGAGACCTTCCACTTCAAGAATGGAGAAGATGCCCCCGCGCTTCTGAAAGTGATCACTGATCCCTTCACGAAGCTCATTATCCAGGTGACTTATCTTTGTTCCCTTTTGTAGGTCAGACAATGGCGTCTAAACTCTGCTGTTTGCCTGCCTCTGAGAAAGGGTGCGGACGGTGGAATGTTCATGGAATTTAGAGCAGTTGACTAGTTTTGGTTTCCATGGCTGTATATGTGATGTTCTTGTTGGGGTGGGAGTTGAATTGTTCTGATGACTTGTATTGGACACAGGGGCCTCTTGTTCCTACCCCTGACCTCAGTCCGTCTGGGCTCACTGATGGGGGTGCTCTACAACTTGTGTAGGGTGGAAGGCTGCTACCTTTCCTTCCAGGAACCACATTAGCCCTGAGGTTCCTACAGCCTGTAATATTCTTGCAGTGGAAGACAGAGGCTTTGTGGGTGTGGCTCTGGGAAGAAGGAATTAACTTGAGCCTTGACTTTCACTTTGATCATCTAGTCCTGTCCCTTATCCTCCATTGACTATGCATCATGAATATGCATGAAAGATCTTCCCGTAGTTCTAACTCGGGCAATGATCTTTCTTCATGAGCCACTTGCTCACATGCAGGCACTGTGCCGAGGGTGATCCGCTTCATTCTGCAGGGTCTCCCGTCGGCTTCATGACCCCAAAGTTCCTGTACCGCCAACCCCATGGTGCCCCTTCCACATTGTTTCAAGGAGTTTCTAACTCTACTATTACCTTCCTCAGCTGGATAAAAAAGTGATCAACCAAATCGCAATAAATGATGAGTCAGCCAAAAACAAGAGTCTGGTGAAGATCTGGTGCAAAGTTTTCACCAACATGGTGAGTGTCTATGAGTATTACTGAGCAGGTGACATCTTAAAACTACTTTTAGTCAAAACTTTTCTTCAAAGTGGGTAAATAACAGTGAGGGAAAAGAAAAGTTTGGGATTTGAAGAATCGACACTGGCCAGTGAGAATGTGCAAAAAGTACATAAATCCTGCACAAACAGAATGAAGAGGACAGAGAATCCTCTACTCCCATCTCCCACCACACAGGCATATTGTTGCTAGCTGGTCATACACTCACCTTGTGCCTCGTTTCTGTTATTGGAGTGACCTGTGCAAATGGTTTTTGTGCTCACACTGCACACACTTGTGTGTCTGGTGACCTCCTCACCCCCTTACCTGCTGCTCCCACTGAGAGAACTGTGCATTGTAAACTCTGTCCTCGTATCTGTCACAGACTCAGGTGAATGTCACCGTCCCCGCACCTGAGAACTGCACCGCCCCTTCCCTCTGCTGGACGGATGGTGTCTCCACCTGGACCATCAAGAACGTGACCTACAGGGAGAACATCGCCAAGTGTGAGTGGCGCAGGCAGACCCCGGCCCCGGGGGGCGCGGGGGGGGGGCTTGTGTGTGGCGCCCCAACCACGAAGCACAGAAGGGCAGTGAGACCTGCTGAGCCCAGGCTCACCCTGCTCCCTGAGCCACTTGCTTCCACAGTGGAGGAAACAGGCTCGGGGCAGTGACAGG